TTATGTCTTTACACCGTGAATTTATTTGGTCAAGGCAACAAATGTTGACCAAGGACTTAAATGTCATTACATGTGATATCAACAACAATCATTCAAAGCAAATGAAAAAATTAGACTATCAAGTATTAATAATCCTACAAACCAAAACAGTATTTTATGATACTAAATAGTAATGAACAGTGCAATAATCTATAATCAATATTAATTTTACAATCCCATCACACCAACCAAAAGGGCCCTCAGGGATTTATTTTAATCCTGAAAAATGAATTCTTCTCCAATGTGACACTTGTCATTCGGTAATTGGAGGAAGAACGGAAGTCGAAGGTAATAGTTTCTGATGTGTCTGTGTATATGGAACTCTCCTTTAAAATATGTTTTCCAGTTTAAGCTTCGATTTTTGTTTTTCGATCCCAACTCTATTTAAAAGAGGTAGCTTTTTTTGTGTATTGCGGCTATCTTAGCCCGTAAAACGATACGAGGATTTGTAATGATAGCACGCAAAAGATAACGCGACGGTAGAATCCGCTGTCTGGAGCAGCTATATGTATATTTGCAATTCTATTTATGTTCTTTTTTCTCGATTTTTCTGCACATGAAAATATTTTTCGATATTCAGCTTGTTGAACGGGTATGTAATAAACTAATAATGTGTAGCACAATAATAGTAGCCTCGACCGAATGAGCCCTAAAACACTTAAAACTTGAGAGAGAGAGAGAGAGAGAGAGAGAGAGAGAGAGAGAGAGAGAGAGAGAGAGATCGGTCCTAATTATGCTGTTTCGATTACTGAGTTATTCTTTGTTTTTATCACACTTCGTTTCTTCCTCGTTTCGGGTTCTTTTCTTTTTCATGCTCCTATTTTTCGAAAAGTCTTTCAAAGAAATATTTGCAAAGAGTTTTTCTTGAACAAGAAAGAGAGGAGAAAATTTGGAAAATATAGATAGATAATAATTTTAGGCTCCAGTTATTTACTCCATCTCATGTTAAATGTGTTCTATATTAAGAGCAACAGTTAAACTTCTATAAATTAATACAGTTGGGACCATAAGTTCAATGTACTATAAAGCTCGTTTTTCGAACTGAAGCTCTTAAAGCAACAATGATATTAAATTGAACAATTTTCTGTTGAATTATGAGAAAACTATTTGTTAACCATGCATGTTAAGAAAAGTGCGGGACGGGGTTGATGGTGATGTGAACTTCAACGAGATACAAGAGACAATTAAATCAGAAAGCCTTCATAAATCTATAAAATATGTATTGCACTGCATTTTCCTACTCATGGCGTTTGCAATTATTTTATTGTGTAATATTTCCTAGCTGAATTTCTTTTTATGTATGTTTATTTTTGAAATACAAAATTTAAAACATAAAAAGGTTAAAAATATAAATATCTATATTCAGTATATAATTTTTGCCTTTTTTATTTTTTAAATAAATATCTATTTCTTTTTGAATTTTAATAATAACAAATAAAGGGATATGTAGTATATTTTAATTTTTTTCAGTGGTGGGGTCTGTTTCACAATTTGGGGAGGGGAATGTGGCTATCATAAGGCTAATTTAGTCATTTTGTCACAGTCAATCCGAGAATAGCCGGTTTTTTTCTCCAAAATTCGCAAATGGGGGTTCCAAGTCAAGGCACCGAGAAGAATGACTAGCACTTTATCACTGGCCAACCAACATATTTGGTTTAATGTAGACAATAAGTATATATAATATAAACCTATGGTGTAAATGATAAATATGTTAAATAAATTATTAATTTTCATATTAATTATTATTAAATAATTTTAATTAAATAATTAACAAATGCAATATAAGAAAAAATATATATAATCACGGTTCAATACTTCAAAACATCTATTATTAATTAATATATCAATATAATCTCCACTATTGAAAAATATAAAATATTGAATTAGTTCAATATATAAACAAATGCGTTGACTTATTACAAATTCACTTATGTTCTTAAAATCGATAGAGTGAAAAATTCGAATGGAAAATAAAATAATATGTTTATTTAAAAGAATAGATTATAACTCATTTCAATTAATTTAAGTTGATTAACCTGAATTGTTGACAAGAACTTATTAATATTATTGAGTATTTTATCATAAGATAATTATTTAAAAATATAAATGATGTTTATTTTGACAAAAATAGATTATATCTCATTTCAATTAATATTCTTACTTTAAAAATAACATTATATATGACTAGTATAATCAAAATATTATGATGTAATTTTTCTTTTAATAATTGATTTAATTTGTAAAAATCGTAGGAATTAAATTGTAGACGATATGATTTAATCATTTTTTTTACATATACATTTTATTCAAGTATTAGAATCGAATCGTAAGATTTAAATGGATTAATCTCAAGTCCTTTTAATTTAGTTTAATTTTTATATTATATTTGTAAATAATTTAATTAAAATTATTTAATAATTATGAATATGATAATTAACAATCCATTTAACATTATTTATTATAATCATTTCAAACTGCGTGTTTATGTTATATTCATATTTCTTGCATGTAGTTTTACAAATATTTTTCTTGGCTCCGTGGTTCGGATTGCATTTGAGGTGCGTGGCGACAAACAAAATTTAAGTGTGAACTAAATAAAAGCCATTAACTCCACCGACCAAACACGAGATCGAAACAAAAACATAAGAGATCTTCCACCAACCAAACACAAAAACACCACCAACCAAACACGAGATCGAAACAACAATGGGCACAAAATTTAAGTCTAAGCTGTGAACTAAATAAAAGCCATTAACTCCACCAACCAAACACACAACAATGGGCACAAAATTTAAGTCTAAGCTGTGAACTATATAAAAGCCATTAACTCCACCAACCAAACACGAGATCGAAACAAAAACATAAGAGATCTTCCACCAACCAAACACAAAAACATAAAGCCATTAACTCAAAAACATAAAGCCATTAACTCAAAAACATAAAGCTGTGAACTATATAAAAGCCATTAACTCCACCAACCAAACACGAGATCGAAACAAAAACATAAGAGATCTTCCACCAACCAAACACAAAAACATAAAGCCATTAACAGTTAGTTCGTATCTATCCACCGAGTATTGTCCATTATACCATTTATGATTTTCATCCAACAAAACAATTACACCATCGTGCTTCGGTAGATGTTCGTCACAAAACAGCTTAGGTAGACACTACAATTTACAAAAACAGGATTTTTATATCAACTCGAGAAATTTTTTAAATTCTGTTTTTTTTTCGCTAGTGCACAAATTCGACAACTCACCAATCGAATTTTTCGGATACGTGCGACACGTGCATAAGCTTCACAAAACTTGGGAAGCGTCGCGGCAATTTCGATTGAACCGCGCGCTCGATCCATAGCAGAGTCTCCCTGCTCAGCAAGCATTAATACGAAATTAGTTGCAATAAGTACCTACTCGTATTGATTACGAAACTGCCGGATCACAAACTCCTATTTACGGCATCTAAAGTATATAACCAATCAACTCAAGAAACCGAAACCGAAACCGAAACTCAAACGGAAACCATCTTAAAATCCAAACACAATGGGCACAAAATTTAAGTCTAAGCTGTGAACTATATAAAAGCCATTAACTCCACCAACCAAACACGAGATCGAAACAAAAACATAAGAGATCTTCCACCAACCAAACACAAAAACATAAAGCCATTAACTCAAAAACATAAAGCCATTAACTCAAAAACATAAAGCTGTGAACTATATAAAAGCCATTAACTCCACCAACCAAACACGAGATCGAAACAAAAACATAAGAGATCTTCCACCAACCAAACACAAAAACATAAAGCCATTAACAGTTAGTTCGTATCAATCCACCGAGTATTGTCCATTATACCATTTATGATTTTCATCCAACAAAACAATTACACCGTCGTGCTTCGGTAGATGTTCGTCACAAAACAGCTTAGGTAGACACTACAATTTACAAAAACATGATTTTTATATCAACTCGAGAAATTTTTTAAATTCTGTTTTTTTTTCGCTAGTGCACAAATTCGACAACTCACCAATCGAATTTTTCGGATACGTGCGACACGTGCATAAGCTTCACAAAACTTGGGAAGCGTCGCGGCAATTTCGATTGAACCGCGCGCTCGATCCATAGCAGAGTCTCCCTGCTCAGCAAGCATTAATACGAAATTAGTTGCAATAAGTACCTACTCGTATTGATTACGAAACTGCCGGATCACAAACTCCTATTTACGGCATCTAAAGTATATAACCAATCAACTCAAGAAACCGAAACCGAAACCGAAACTCAAACGGAAACCATCTTAAAATCCAAACACAAATTCAAACGGAAACCATCTAAAGTATATAACCAATCAACTCAAGAAACCGAAACCAAAACCGAAACTCAAACGGAAACCATCTTAAAATCCAAACACAAATTTTATTTTTGAAACTATAATTTTCATCTCATATACTAATAGCATCATCAAATATAAATTATGTCAGATCAAACATCATTTGGGGCAAATAGCATAGCATATACATACAGCTTATCATGTATGTAATATAATCACCTCCGAAATTATCAATCAACATAGAAAATCGTATAGATCAAATCATTTCAGTAGGCTTTGTTTGGGAGCTAAGTTTATGTTAGAAATAAAGCATTTAAAACTAAATAAATAATAAATAAGTAAAAGATTAATGGCTTTTATTTAGTTCACAGCTTAGACTTAAATTTTGTGCCCATTGTTGTTTCGATCTCGTGTTTGGTTGGTGGAGTTAATGGCTTTATGTTTTTGTGTTTGGTTGGTGGAAGATCTCTTATGTTTTTGTTTCGATCTCGTGTTTGGTTGGTGGAGTTAATGGCTTTTATTTAGTTCACAGCTTAGACTTAAATTTTGTGCCCATTGTTGTTTCGATCTCGTGTTTGGTTGGTGGAGTTAATGGCTTTATGTTTTTGTGTTTGGTTGGTGGAAGATCTCTTATGTGTTTGGTTGGATGGAGAAGTTTCTCTATCGACAACAAATTGCTCGAGGGAGATTGCTTGGTTTTTCAATTGATCGAGCCGTGCAAGTTTAAGGTAGTTTCGTTGATCGAACTTATTGCACGAATTTTCTTTAATTTGTTATTTTTTTATTGTCCATTCTTATCAATGATTGTGTATTTTACTATTCTTTAATTTTGTTATCTGGAGGTATACATTGTCAAAAATAAAAGATTAACAAAATTCGACGAAGCAAATCAAGATCATTTTCACCGTCAGCCAATCGAAGAAAATTCAGACCCCATTGAGGTAACTCGAGATAAATATCTCGAGCACCTATCACAAAAGAAGGAAAGATCGATTCCCATTCGTAATACTGCTCAAGATGAATATGCCTACTACAGCGACATGTTCGGCACACAAAGATCCTCGGAATATTCCCTTGTCAAATTTAAAGACATTAAGGGGTTTAAAGGTTTTAGCATTTACGTAGATGGCCAAATTCTCGACTCCGAAATGCTAACTCGTTGTAGAGAAAAGTACTACGAGCTCTGCAAAAGTCAAAATATGTTTCTTCACGAGAAACTCGTACGGGGGCTTAACGGTAAATTAGCAGCCGAGATGATTTCGGAGACGGTCAAGATAGCCAATACGATCAGGGCCGTCAATCCTATGACGGGCCCCGCTCGAATGGAGTGTTGGGATAAGACTTGAAAGGTTTCGAGGAGTTAGGAATGGCGGTTGGGTTTCTACGTGTTAGAATACGTAAGCTGCTTTGTGTTTTTCATGAGTTTAGAGACGAAATTGATTTGAAGAGAATCGAGAGAGATGAAGTTGAAAAGGAGATAAGAGCTCTAAATGTGAAGATTGAAAAGATTGATGCCGAAATCGATGCTCTTGGTGGGAAAAACGCCGTTTTTAAAGAAACTGCTTGTGCTCCATGGTGAAAAGAGCTCTCAGAACCTTCATGTAGGCCGCCGGTTGTGGACCTCGGTACGATTCTTTTCGCGGAGGTTCTTGGACGGACGCTTGGCGGCCGGCCGTTGATTTCGACTAGGAGGTTGTTTAGACGGATGGCTTGGCATCGAGTGAGGCAGGTTTTTTTTCTTTCTTTTCGTTTTTTTTCGTTTCGATTTATTGTTGTTGGAAATTGTTTGTTAGGGGAAGTATTAATCAGTTAAAGATTGGATGAAGAATCGGCAAAATCGTGTTTAAAGAATGAAATTTCACGTAAATTCGTATGTAAAAAACATATTTTAGAAGGAGTCGAGAAATCCCGTGAATAAGTAATCGATACCTTTTGTTTGCATTACTTCTGAAAGAATTTATGGTCCCGAATTCGTTTAATACAGAGAATGTTGTCTTAAGTGTTATGACACTTAAGTAAACATGCAGCGGAAATATAGAGACAGTACTCAGATATAAAAATGTTCACAAGTAAAAACTTGTGAACTTGCCCTTTTCAGGACGGAAAAAATATATTAAACAAACAGTATTCCAAGAATACAAAGGGAAGATGTACGAAAACTTCTTCCTTATGAATGAATCATTAACATGATCATTCTTACATTCAAATCTAGAAACAAAAAGATAAATACTAAAAATACTAGATTTCAAAGAATGTACGCGTGAGGAGTACGAACAACAGATTCTAGAAACACACTAAAATTCTCATGAATATTCTTCAGCACTCGATATTTTGTTTCTTCGAAATCTGTCTCTTTCTTGATTCTTGAGTTTGATATTTATAGACTTTCCAAGCTTCCACTACTCAGCCCATGATCTGCAAGAAAACCAACCACAAGAGCACTCAAGAAAATAGGTTAGTGGGTTAGTTTAAGGAGTTAGAATAATATCCATAATTAATCCCACTAAGCACTACTTAGCCCACTAAGTCATAACACTTAGCCCACTAAGTCATAACTAAAATTTAGTTAGAAAATAAGAGAGTTAAAAACATTTTAGTAGAAAAACCAACGTGTTTCAAACTCCCCCTTTTTAACTTTCTGATCAAAATTAAATTTTAGCTAAAACTCCCCCTGAGACATTGCTTGAACTCCCCCTGAATTTGATAATAAACAAAATATAGAAAAATCAATTCAAAACAAATTCAGCAAGATAGTCCAACACAAATTAAAAGTAAAGAAACAACCAAAGTGCAGTCCTACACAAAAGTTCAGAGGGAAAATAAAAACAGAACAAAATCAAATATTGTTCATAAAAATAATTAAAGTAGAATATCCAAAGTCTCCTCAGTATCAGCTGCTGCTCCTCCATCATCAGCACTGGATCCACTGCTTTCCTCTGCTCCTTGAGCTTCACCCTCATTCTTTGCTCCTTCTTCATTAACTCCTTGCTCTCTGCCTCTAGCATCCAAAGGATGAGAAGTTCCTGCTTCAACTTCTTCTTCTTCTTCTTCTTCCAATGTCAAATTGTGGTAACAAAAATGGGTCTTCAGTGAATTTTATTATTTATTTATATATTTAATTTAGTTTGTAAATGCTCTGTAACAACTTATTAATTTTATTATATAATTTTATTATTATTTATTTATTTATATATTTAATTTTATTATTTCTTGATTTCTCTTTCATATTTATTAATGGTAGTATAATTTCATTTGATTTAACTCAATTTTGATTTTTGAGAGGGTGGGTGATTTTTAGTTTTAATTTTAATTCACTTACATTTTTTGCAACAATATATTAAATTGGATGCTTTTCACACTTGATTTTAGCCCTTTTATTCGGTTTACGTAGATCCGCAATTTTTTGGGCTATTTCTAATGGTGTTCGTATTCCAATATCGGGATGACCTAGCAGTTGGAGCAAGTGAGCTTGTGTCAATTGACCCAGATTCGAATCTTCTTGCCACGCTAGGTTGAGCTTGTCACACATGATTAGCCTAGTGTGGTTTATATGATTTGATTTCATAATCTATAATATAATGAGTTTGTGATTTAGGTACTAACTACGACTAACTCCGTATCATTTGAACATGAGATTAAAAGTCTTTGTTCACTAAAATAAAGTTTGATTTTTTTTGTATTTGTTGAATTATTTTTTCTGTATTATAGTAGTTGTGTTGATGTATCGAGCTTTGCAATGGATCGAGCACAAGCAGTTGCAACAAATCTCTACCCTAATTTTTGAGGCGTTTGCTCAAATCGCATGTAACTGGACAATTTCGTTTGGTGAGTGTCGAAATTGCTCGCCAATAAATAAAAATTCTGTACGACTATTTTTTAATTTTTTTTTTCAATTGTAGAATCTACCGAAGCGGTTTTGCGATGCTCATCTACCAAAGCAAAGTTGTATATTTGTTTTGTTGGATGAAAACGATCGAGAGTACAATACAAAGTATGCGGTGGGGGAAAATAGACTAACTAGATGGAACAGTTTCTCGATTGCACACAAATTCGCAATACGGAACTTAAAATCTTATGATTTACGATTTAAATCTTACGATTCCATTCATTCATACCCAAGTGATTCAGATGTTAAAATAAATCTTAAATATCAACAAATCGATTGTGAAAATTGCAGAATCACCCTTATACTTACTCCATCTTCCTACCCGCTCCACCCAAATTGCAATTTGACCCCAAAGTGGATCTCTCTTTCAATATCCAAAAATATCCGCCACATTTACGAGAATTCGCAATACCGAGCATAAAACCTTATGATTTACGATTCAAATATTACGATTCAATACATTTATATCTATGTAGATTCAAATGTTAAAACAAATCTTACTTATCAACAAATCGATCAATTTCTACGATTTTTGGTCCATATATTATATACCTATTTCGCATCGCACGCGCCGTCATTCAGGTAGCCTTTAACGGAAGGAAGAAAATTAACTCCTGATTAATCAACTTTCGTTAGCACGGAAACGAGTTTGTTTAAGGACCAAAATTAAAAATGGTATATAATATAGGGACCAAAACATCCGTGAAAATGCAGCATGCTTCGACTCCTCCTTAGTTGTAATCGCGTGTGACTCCTTCAAGAAAATTCGCAATACCGAGCTTAAAATTTTATGATTCATGATTTAATTCATTAATACCTAACGCGATTCAAATGTTAAAATAAATCTTAAATACCAATAAGTCGATCAAATTTAAAGAGTTACGGTTTAAGAAAACTTTAATTTATTATAGTATTTATAATATACTTGGGATAATTACAATTTTAGTCCCTATATTATACACCATTTTTTTCATTTTGGGCCTTAAACCGGAAATGCCCCCCACGTGGGGGTCAATTAGTAATTTCTGGAAATCCAACATCCTGGTCGAAACAGTTCTGAAAATTGCAGAATCACTCCTATACTTACTCCATCTTCCTAGTCGCTCTACCCAAATTGCAAATTTGAGCCCAAAGTGGATCTTTCTTGCAATATCCGAAATATCCGCCACCAACGCAGGATGCTTCGACTCCTCCTCAGTTGTAATCGTGTGTGACTCCTTTAACAAACTTCGCAATACCGAGCTTAAAATCTTTTGATTCACGATCCAATTCATTAATACCTAAGGCGATTCAAATGTTAAAATAAATCTTAAATACCAACAAATCGATCAAATTTTACAATTTACGGTTTAAGAAACATTTAATTTATTATATTATTTATAATAAACTTGGGATAATTACATTTTTGGTCCCTCTATTATATACTGTTTTTAATTTTTGTCCTCTAACCGGAAATACCCCCAAGTGGGGATCAATTAGTAATTTCTGGGAAACAGAAAGTCCCAAACAGCCCTGTGGGACGGCCGTCCGAAAATAAGGCACAAACATGGGACGGCCGTCCCGTGAACAGTGGGGAGAGAAACATCTCGGGCGGCCGTCCGAAAATCAGCACAAAACCCGGGACGGCCGTCCGACTATTTTTAGGGCATTTTTACTTTAAAAACTTAGATTTTTTCCCCCATTATTTCCTAAACCCTCCGCTTTCCTTCTCTCAAACTCCCACACACAAATGGAGGCTAGATAATTGAACCAAATTCTTCAAAATCTACTCTTTGAAGGCACGCCCACAAAGTGTTCGACAATTTGCTCCAACCAAATTTTGAGTTCGATTCTCGACCAATTCTCACCGAATCTATTCCAACCGCTCTCCCCACTATGCCGTCCAACAAAAGAAGCCGCACGAATGAAGCTTCATCTTCCAAAGGCAAAAGAAAAAGGCAAGAAAAGTGCCACCAAAACGACGATTCATATTCCAAAGCCGCTCCTCAAGCCCGAGACGACCCCGAAGCCTCGAGTTCCCGTGCCGATCGACGATTCCGAAAGAAGATGGAGCGAGAGATCTTTTCGATGATAAGGAGCGTGAGAGAGCTAGGGAGGAGCACCCCGATCACATTCGACTCCGACTAAATCAGGTGTTTTCTATCCTTTAACTTTGTGCTAATTTCGTTGAGGGCAACGAAAATTTTAAGTTTGGGGGTGAAAAACATGTTTTTGTGTTTTAGTTTGCATGCATTAGGTTTTATTTATTTTTATTGCTTTTATCGTTTTTTTCCGGAATATTAAAAAAAAAATTTGCTTGAGTCCAATGCATCAATGATTTATGATGATGATGAGAGATGATCAATGTTTGATGATGAGATTGCTTGTTTTGTGTGATAAGTATTAGATGTTTGTTTAGCTTTCGATTCAACGGAACTTAGAAGCGAATTATTGCTAGGAATCACACTTTGTGCATTACTT